TTCCAACCTTAATGAGTCTATGATTCTATAAATGTATGCTTAATTTATCAGATTACTTGTAATATGATATCTATATGTAATTTACAATGTATTTGTAGAAAAATTATAGGTGTAGTTCTCAGTTTCAGGAAGTGGAATAGTAATAATGAATATATTCTTTCTCCAGAACATAGTAAGATATTAAAGTAAGTACATTTTTAAAAATCTACGGTTTTTTAGTTTGGGGTTTTTAATAAACTTTTCTGAACTGGTGTTTTTTCTTATTGCTTCTGTATTTGCAGTGATTACAGTGAGCTAGAGCACTGGTTCTAAAGCATTTTTTGTTGAGTCCACAGATGTGGTTTTGGTAGAAGATTCCTTTGACTACTGTTTTTTTAAGAAGCCAATCTTTTGTTTAGTCATCACACATATTAAGCACAGTCCATTTAACCTTAAATGTGTATCAACCATGCATCTAAGGAGGAGTGGGGATGTGAAGTATTGTCATTACTTCTAGTGGCTCATCTTCAGTTGTGGTCATTGTCTGATATTACAGGGGAAATTAGGGAAAAAATTCCAACTCTGACTACTTCCAATTTCCCCCTTTTGAAAGCAGAATAAAAATATTTCTTGATCCCTGCAAGTGGCTTTTTAAATCTTTTGAAGGAATAAGTGGTCTGTTGTCATAGATGCTCTTTTGTTTTCTGCTGTATAAACTTAATGTTTGAATTTCTATCCCGTCCTGTCTCATTTTACTCCAGTGCAACTCAACACACTTCAAGAGATGTTTCTTTTCTTGTTTTACAGATTTCCTTGTTAATGATGCGAGTAAAAGCTTTAACAGCAGAATATAATCAATGGCAAAAAAGAAGTCCTGAAAGTAAGTAACTGCTTCCATGTAAGGTATACTTATATAAAATTCTGCAAAGCCTCTTTCATGTAGGCATCTTAAACTGTGTATATATCAAATGTCTGTTGATTGTATTTTCATACTATAACTACTTAAAAATTAAATTAAATACTTCCCACAATAGCATGTATGTTTCATTTCTATATTCTTTTTGCACTTTAGTTCTAAGTGAACTTAGAATTCAAAGTGAATTCTACTATAACGTAATCGTATGATTCTGGACAAATAAATGCATGATGCATATCACCATTCATCAGTCAGTTAAATGGAAAAATAAGTTTTAGCAGGTCTCCTAACAAAATAACAAAAGTTCATTATGCTGTTACTTGCCTTCAGGTTTCTCCTTTCCGTGATTGTTTCTTCTGCATCTTTCACTTGTATTTCCTTTTTAGGACAGAACTACTTTGGCAAAGAATTGTGTCTTCATTTTGTCTTTTAAGACGCTGATATATTTTTTATCTTTGCAAGTATTGCTAATAAACTAACAATAATTTACCCAGACATATTTTTAACCATACCTCCTTTGATTTTTTTTTTATTATTACTACTTCACAAAAGTGTGTTGTATGATGATGTACTAGCTGAAACTTTGAAGTAAGCCTTTAGCAGTAAGTCCATTACACCATAATAAATCCTTGGATTTAACAGGGGTCAGAGATTTCAGGTCAAGAAAAGGTGGTAAAAGACACTTCAGTTTATTTTAACAACACAGGAATCCAGATCACTTACTGATCTTGAGAAGCACAAACCACTGAGGCAAGTGGTGGCCCTTATATTTGTTAGGCATTATTAGTCAAAAGGTATCAATTCCTCAGTTCTTCAGAATTCTTTCTGTACATAAGCATCAGTGCTGACTGCTTTCATTCTGTTGCAAGGCTGATGTGGCCAGACACTGAAAATAAAGCTGCTCAGAATCTAAGTGTGAGTAAAGTAATCTGGTTTTTCAGATGTCCCATCTGGAGACTCCTAAAACAGTTCACACTGCGCTATCATTAGTATTCTGGTAGCACTCACTGTTATGTGTCCTGTCAAGGAACTGTTAGCACCTTTCAACCCAGTAAAACTTACTAGTTAATCTTTAAATGGATACATTGACTCATTTGAATATTTTTATGCCAGAAGAGGTTTGGCTTTTTTAGTGTTTACAAAATGATAGGAATGTGTATTTTGTCATTTGGCCAAATTGGAATGCATTTTCAGATGAACATTAAAGTCACTTCTCCAGCTGCTTTCATAGTTCATGTACTTGCTGCATATTATGATCAAATAATAGGAACTGGGAAAAAAAAGTATTTCTTCTTTCTTATAAATAGATATTGTTGCTCTATTAGAATAAATTCATATAAATTCATATAAATTCAGTTCATGTGCTTTGTAAGCCTGTCTCTAATAATGGTCAGCCTCAAATGCTTCTTAGAGGTATGTAGACCAAAAGTATGATATTGAATGAATTTGGGAAATAATGGTTTTTGGCTGCTGCTCATGAATAAGCTGCTGGCTTAAAGAAAATGAATTGAAAGCACTTACCATTTTTATCTGGGTAAAAAACCTGGAGATGTTAGGTCTCCTTACTAAAATATGTAATTATTTTAAACTTTAAGCTATTTGCTTAAAAATATTTTTGGGACTTGACCTATTTTTATTGGCTTGCTGACTTGCTTTGCTCAACCATTCTTACTTGTTCCCAGGTGATAAGATTTATTATTAGAAATCTTAATTTTGTACTAGAGAAATGATTTATGCATGTTATAATGCAATTAATATTTTGCAGCCAAAGCTTTGCCTTTTTGGCTACTTTTCTGAGGGAAGAAAAAAGAAGTTGCCGCTAAGAATTTGCATAGAGTTATAGTGCTTGTATGAAAATGAAGAGTCTGCTGTGCTTACATCTTCTCTGTCCATCTTGGCTCCTTTCTACCTACTGTTTGTTTTGAAGGAGGAATTACTTAATTGAAAACATTCTCTGGATTTATCTAAATAGGAATAGTAGAAATACTAATTTCATACAATTTAGTAATAGAGTATGAATGTGAGGCTGTCTTGTTACTTTGGTTTCTGCTTTTAGTAATGGCAGTTCATTTCTTGTAAATGAGGGCCTGTCAGCATTTCAATTTTCAACCTTATTTTCAGAGGTTATAACTTGGCAGTTCTACATTTCTTTGGGCACAATATTGGCAAACAGACTTGAATCCACAATGCAAATTCTATTTTTGCAAAGCTTTTACTTTAGTCTCTTGTTCTTTCTCAATTTCTGGTACTATTTATGTAGCTCTAGAGCTACTAAATCAGCTGAATTAAAACTTTTTAACAAGCGTTTGGCTCATAAAAATAGAATTTAACTTCTACCTTTTCAAAATAAGGAAGTGGAAGAAAACATATTTTAAACCATATAAAACAGTTGTGGTCTCTGCATAATTTCTATTTTTCTTTGCAAAATATCAGTATTCTGCCAAATTCCTCTTATTTTAATAGGAGTTTCTGTATAAACATGTGCATAGTAGTTGCTTTTACATTCTTAGCATCTGGTAGTATTTTCCTTAGTAATTGTGTTATGTATCACTAGGCAATTCTGTCTGACATTTGATTTTTCCAAGTGTAGTGATTCATAACTGAAAAAGCTTTAACTGATGGAGCAACCTGTGTTCTTTACAGTAGCAGCTGCCATAAATTTGTTGTCCCAGTGTCTTAGATCTGCACTGTTCCTTCACTAAATTAGGGTTAGTGATTTCTTTCCTAGGAAGGTGTGGCCTTCTATTCTGATACTCACACAATATGAATATTGAATGGGAAGCACATGCTCAGGATTAGGTATCTAAAAATGAAGAAGTGTTAGAAACCAATACTAGAAATTGATAATTCCTGGTAGTGAGAGCTCATATAATCATGGTGGGAGGGTGGCGGGGGGAAGACTTTTATGGGTTTCTTCAGATATGCCAGTGAATGTGAATAAAAGCACATCAATGAATTTCATCATGTATATGTAGGATATTCATGTCATTAAAGAAATCTTGCTCTAATAATAGCACAAACCACTACCTCCCATAGCTCTTAAACATAAGCTTAATTTGGGAGCACTCTACTCAAATTTTGTGTCAAAATTTAGAGACGGTAATTGTCTAAGTAAAAGGGATTTTATTGTGACATGTAATTTAATGCATTTTGAACTCAGTAGTTTTGCTGATTTTCATCCCAGAACAAACATTGCTTTTAAGACTACTAATCTAAGGCTTCCCAAAACTTGTGGAGATAAAAACTATAAAATTACTTTACCAAAAAAAGTACTTTTATAAATTTGTGAAATCAACTGTATTGTATTTAGGAGATATTTAATGTTTTTATGAGAGGGTTAAGGGTTTTCCTTTTTTTAAAACGAAAAGCTTTTATTGAAGTAACTATTTTTAAGATTAGAGATATGGAGCCCAAGCTTGGACAAAAAATATCCCCGTCATATTAAATTTAAATCTGTTAGAGTAGCTTTCATTTCTCCTGTTAATAGATTTAAATGCTTCACTTTTTCAAAAGTCATATATTTATGCACAGGCTGCAAGTTGACATGGAACTGAGAATTGATTGGAGTCCACTGAAGGCTATCAAGTACAACAATTCACTTTTTATTCAGAAAATCCATGAGCCATAAATCACTGTGTTTTGCAGAGGCATTCTGGGGAAACGTTACCACATCCTTGAATAATACCATACTTTCCGTTCAGTACTGACTGCTGTTGCTCAGGGTTGGAGTTAGGATATTGGCCTTGCTGGGCCTTTCATGTCTCTCCATGTAGCTGTTCTTGTGAACAGTAAGGATGGTGACATGCTTTTTAAGTTTCTTTAAATCTGGTAGGTTTTAAAATCCTGATCAAGCATTTGGGAGGCTGTTTAACAAGGAATTGGAAGACTGGAAGAATTTGATTGCCCACATTGTTGATGGAATCCCTTCCACTTAAAAAATCAGGTTTGCTTATCTTGAAGTATGACTGTACTTCATATTTCAATATTAGGTACCTGAGCTAGTTCAGGTATAAAAAATAACACAGAAGCATTACCACCACAGTTTTTTCAGTCTAATTTAACTTGCTGAAAAGTGACAGTAGGTTAGCCCAGAGGACACCCCAAAATCTGGTTAAACTGCTGCTGACAGCCAAGCTAGTTTTTTAGAGGCTACACAAGTTTCTTTCTAGCCAGGCTGCTTTTCGGTATTAAAAAGTCTGTATCACCCAATGCAAAAAACCCAATTCATTTTATCTTTCAGTAATTTCTACCAATCCAGAGGTACTGTTAGCATTAGGAAAAGAAGAGGTAAGTCTTTTTGTTTGCTAAGAGATAATAAAATTTCATTGAAAAAAATGAAAAAAAGTATATACAATTGCTGCATTTTCCTATGACTATTCCTGTGGTGGACTACTGGTAAGATACTGTGTATGTTTCTTCAGACATCGCTGCTGTTCTAATGTCGTTTCTTCCTCTGTGTTATAACTACTAAAATTTCCTAGTTGTAATGAATGATCTTTTAAACAAAAAGTTTTTATATATTGCATTTCATAATTGATATAAAATAATGTAACTTTATGTGTTACACAAAAGAGTCAATATTCACAGATCTAGAGTTCTGTGGCAATAATTTACAAATATTTTTACTTCTTCCAGCCTTGGAAGAAAGAGCAAATCAAGAATGTCTTAGGGGTAGCATTACACTATATTGATTGAACATTGGTATGCAACATGACCTGAGAATATTCCTGTGGCTATGGCTTTGAAAAAGAAAAAAAAAAATTTCTTCTTCCTAGCAGTTTTCTTCCCTCTAGTATCACTCACAACAGGGAACCCAACTGCTGTTAAGAATCACTGTTAACAAGTTGTTTGGTTACGCACTTTCATTTGACTGTATTGCTATGCCATGTTTGAGCTGATACCCCATTTTGTGGCCTATTTTGTTGAGGATTCCAATTTTTTTTTTCAGATGTTGCATATATAGAGCGTATTTGCTTTTGTAGAATATTTTCACAATTTTTATTTCTTTGAGCTAAATACAAAAGTTCTCATAGTTTGTATGGAAGGAGACAAAATACATCCAAATCATAGGTTTATATTAAAAAAACATAAACTATTAGAAATACTACTTTCTAGAACATAATGCACTAATGAAAGACCCAATCCACTAAGAGTCCAATGTTCCCTATCTTCAGGAGCACATATAACCTCTGGCTGCAGTAGTTTTATTTCTCCCTCTTTCCTCTTCCAAATATGTCCATATGAGGACCATTTAACTCATGGATGCAATTAGTCTTTCTTTGCAGCATCTTTGTTTTCTGAGTGCTATACATTTTATGTTGGTGCAATAAGCAAGGATTCATTCTTGCAAACAGCTGCGATGATTTAGACAATGCAGCCCTGGTGCTGTAGATGTTTTCTCCTCAGTCTTTCATCAGATGAGCAGTTCATGTGTGTGCTCCATAATCTGCTTCAGGTAAAATCGATTGTGTTGTTTTACAGAGCTTCAATAAGACACTGAGCAACTGGTGACAGTAATGTTTTAAATAGCTCCAACTGGATTTAAAAGTAGGGCGTCACTACTTTTCTTAAGAAATTACAGATAATTTTGGCCCTCTTTATCAGATTTACAGATGTAACCTTACATAGAACAAATACTACAGACTGGGCTATCTGCAAATTTTAGGTTTATTTTTACTTTTTTGTAGTTGCAGAAAGTAAAGAATGATCTTGAAGTCATGCTGTCAATGGTTCAGTCAAAGAATAAACAACTGGAAGAAGATCTGAAAAGGTAATAAAATAATTTGGACTTATGAATGCTGTAAGCTTTTTTACCATACTTTTTTTTTTTTGACTGTCCAGGAAAACTATTTATCTGTTGTGCCATTTCCTACTTTCCATGTTTCAAAGAGAACAGCAGTGGCTTGAGGAACAGGAGCAGATACTAGATGCTCTTAATGGAATTGAAGAAGAGACAAAAATCCAAGTTGAACAACTTTCCAAACAAAGGTATTTCTACAGTGTTGAGTTTTTATTTTGAAGAATTTAAATATCAACAAGAGCAAATGAGCAAACAAACTCTTAAAACATACTCCTTGTTTTGTTAAATAGATCGAATAATAACTTAGTAATCCCTACTTGAAACATGGAAAATATTGCTACTATCTGCTTATATCCTGGGATTCAAGATGTTGAACTTATAACAATAGAAATTAAGGGATTTTTTTTACTTAAGAAGAACTTTTTAATTTATTTTATTGAATTTCATATTCTATTGCTATGTTTTTACTATTAGTCCGAATGCTAGAGCATTTTATGAACTGCAAAATAAAATGTTGAAACTAAAGATATATAAGGAAGAAATCTTGAATGCTCTGGGTGAATTCCTAGAAGAACATTTTCCCCTTCCAGAGAAAGGTGGAAGTGCTAAAAAGAAGGTAAGATTTTCTTAATAACTATTAAATTTAGAATGTTCAATTTCTATTTAATTAAATGCAATATCTTTTTAAAGTCACTAGCATAGAATCTGCAATTATATTTTGCAATCAGTATAGTTCTTACAGCGGATCCTTTAGGTTTAATTGATATTTTTCAAGTTGGTTTATAATATTTAAGGCTGTTCCCGGCTGGATATTGTCTTTTTTAATGCATATATCCTTCACCCAATGAGATGCATAGCAATGGATTGTATTTCTTACTGAACTGCAAGCTGTGCCAAATTTGGGAATGGTGAGGGGTTCATTCCAAATTGTTCCATTTTCTTTTTTACTGGACTAGGCAAGTGGATTCATATTTTCCTTGGCAAAGCAAATTTTAATTGTCTAATAATGTTTTTGGAACAGTAATAAGGACAAGTGTTTATAATTACAATGTAGTTTGGAATGTTAACCATCAGTTTCTGTTCAGGCAAGCTGGACCAAAAATTATCTTAAAACTTTAGGGAAAATAGGCAGTCAGGGAGTATTTTGCATAATAAATTCAAAGTCTGCAGTAAAAATAAACCTTTTACCATTACTATTTGAAAGAATAGTTACAAAAAACCTACAAAAAAAGCGGGGGTTGATTTTGATTTCAAACACATTTAAGAATACAGAAATGGAAAGGATTTCTTTAATCCAGTTCCCTGTTATTTCAGACAACCACATAATATAATTTCTTTAATATTATCATTGAGCTCCATTTTAAAACTAATTATTTTTGTTACTACTGTTTCTATTGGGGTTTGTTCTAGTACCTCAGTACTCTGGTTAGAAACTGTCTCCTAACTTCCAGTCTAAATTTATTCATGTCTAACACAGATCCATGTATTCTTACGCCAGTATTGTCCTTAGAATAGCTTTTTTTCTTTCTTGTGTGTGTTCCTTCTGATACATTTATAGACAGCAATGTTATACCCTCTCTTTCTTTGTTTTGCTAATTGAACTAGCAAAGCTTTCTTGCTCTTCTCCTGTAAGAAAATTTTTTTCAATTCCCTGGCTTATCCTAATAATACCCATTTTCTATATTTGCTTCCACTTGGATTAATCTTTTTTGGAACCTGATAAAAACCAATATTATAAACAAACCTACTAGCTCACAGTCACCACAAAAGCAACTGATTACACCCTTGTCTTTTTCTTCCTGTTATTTCTAACTGATGAACCCTGAAAAAATATCTTGTTTTTGCACAGAAGTACATATTTTGCACATAAAAATACCAAATGGAGCCTTCAAGGCACTGGTGTCCATTTTCAAAGTCTTATTCAACCATCTTGAAACATCTTATTCTATCATATCTTAGTGCTTTCACATATCAATGCCTTCCAGTTTCCTGCTATTACTAAATACAATACATTTTGTTCCAACATTAAGAAATTAAAGCTTCAGGGATTTAATTAACAGTCATCTTTCAATCATGTATTTCCTGATTTCAACCTGATATGTCATCTCCCTATTTGCTGGGTCTTACTGATCTTACAATTGTTCTAGGACATGCCTCTTCAAACAATAATGACTTTCCCAGATGCATTTTAAGTGATTGTCCATTTTTCCCATCTATATCATTATTTCCTTAAAAATATATTTCCTATAATGAGAGACACCAATTTATTTGCTCCCATTTATGTGTTGTCATAGAAAAATATAGGCTGGAAGTGATCTCTGGAGATCTTCCATTCCAACACCATCATCAAGGCAGTGTCAATGTGAAAGTTGGTTCAAGTTGCTCAGGGTCCTGTCCAGCTGTATTTTAAATATAAAGAACAGTGAATTCACATGTGTGTTTCAGAATTATGAGGAAGTTTTTATATGAAATCTCCCGCCCCAGAGCAAAATCAACTGCTTGAAGTTTCTCAGCCTCTGTAATACTGACTGTCAGAAATTCTTGTTAACTACTCTGCCTTCATCTTTCTTCCATGCAATTTTCCTTATTAAAATCTAAAGAAAAAAACAATCATCTAAGGTGTTTGGGATTAGTCAACCCTCCCCCTGCTCACAGAAGTCACCTTCTACCTTTTTTTTAAATTTTACTTAAACATAAAATTTATTTTGATAAATTTCCAAGCAAGGTCTTGTCTTGTCTTAGTTTTAATTTTATTCATGCATTTTCAGAACTCTTAAACACAGTTTGTTTTCTGACAAGTCTTTTCCTTTCTTTTTACTCCTTGTGAATTCATAGCTTCTTCTATACCTTTTTACTCATTTGGATCTCAATGGCTCAACTGCAGGTTCCCTGTAATCTGCATCTAAGTGATTAACTGTGAAGGCAGGAGAGACAGCGGTTTTCACCTATTTTGTTTTCTTTATTGTGTCAGAAATACATATTGGCGGCATTAGCAATGAAATTTGCTGCTACACTGATTCAAGGGCACGCATTATTAACGTCTATTATCAGCTTGGTTCAACACTCTGGAAGCACTGAATTCTTAACTCTGTACATCAGTAATTTTGCTTCATGTCATGGAAGCTTCTTGTGTTCTCACTAGTTCTGCTTGACGGCAAATGTGCGGGGCTGACGCCTGTAGGGTACAGCTCCAGAGTAGTGTGAACTCCTCCAAGCCTCGCTGTTCTGGTTCCGCCCTCCTTTCATCAGGCACCTGCCTCTGGGATTGGGAGTGGGAGGGAAGACTGAATCACAGCAGCCCAGGTTAGCTTCTGTTGCCATGGCCCAATACCTTTAGTATAGGTAGTGACTGAAGTAAGAATTATCTTGCATTTTAAATCTCGGAAAAAAAACCATATTTTTTTCCAAGATAAGAGATACGAAAAGCCATATGTTGAGGAATATTCTTTATGCCAATCTATTTCATGGAAGGGAGAAGAAGGTGTGCTTTCAGGTTAAATAAACAAATGCTGACCATCCTGCTTAAAAATGGCTTTATAAGCATTAATTAGAGGTACTTATTATATTGGTGACACTTAAAATATGTAAGTAATGTAATTTTACAAAACAATATATGCAATGTATATTATAAACCTAATAAAATAAGTTTGCTAGTTCTGTGAGAGTGCAAACCTCTTTACACTAATATTCTTAGGATTTTATTCTTTGTATATCAGTTTTAGTAATTACTGAAGTCATAACCTAATTTCAACTTTGAAACATGAATATTGAACCCACTACCTAAGTTACGAAGTAATTATTTTTGGCCAGGGAAGTACAACAGCCGAGGCTACGAAGTATCTTCATGATTGCTCCAAGGAAGCTTTTGCAGCTTCTTATGTAGATTCTATTTCCTCAGCCTAGTATCAAGATAAAGGCACAAAGATAGGCATTACTGAGCCCTAGTTCCATGGTTTGCAAGATTTCCATGGAGCAGGCAGAATGTGCCCCTTGTGGCTTTCTGAAGGTGAGAATATTAAAAACTGTGACTGGAAAAAAGGAGCCAGAACTTGCCTTTCACAAATTCTTCCTTATTGCTTGTAGTGCTCTTCTGTTCCAGAAGTGGAGTTTGTATAAGATGCTGCACGTCCATTAATGTCTTAGGACTTAAGTTGACTCAGCAGTGCTGAGTTAGCAGCCACCAGTGCTGCATTATCTCCTTTATTTTGTTGAATGGAAGGGGAAAAATGATAAAATTGAAAAATAAAAGAATCAGGTTCACTGTGCAACACGACAAGCAGTTTTGTTGGCATTGCTGCCTAGGGAATCCATATCAATTTATAGGCAAATGGGCTTCATTTGCTTGCTACAAATGAAAACAAGTGATTTTCTAATGGATTGCTGTACAAATGATATTTTATCAAGGACTTTTTTTTTTTCCTTCATATTTGTAATGATTTATTTCTTAAGCTTGGCCAATTTTTTAAATTGAATTCAGAGTAAAAGTAAACAAATACTTATCGGCAAATAATGAAAAAATATTAAGGCACTATGAACTCAAGTCTTGAGCTCTGTCAAATTTGCATTGTAAACATTTTTCTAAAGTTCAAGAAAAACATTATTTTTTCCTAACAGATAATATTCATAGAATGTTTTGCACTGTACTACATTTATAAATATGATGTACTTTGTTTTATTTAAATGTAAACCCAGGTAGGTATACTATGATCACTTAAGATTAATCTTTTTTAATATTTAATTCTAAAAATAGTACATTTAAAGTGTATAATATTGAACTGGTAGATGAATTATTTAAATACTACCTTGTATTTTTGTCATGACTAAATCTAAGGCAAAGTCTTCATCTGTTGTGTACTATGCAATCAAATAACTGTGTGATTATTTTCCTTTGTCAATTAACATTTTTTCCTGACTATTTAGTTTTGGTTTCTGTTAATTTGGCTGGGGGGGTGGTTACCTTTGCAGAATTCTTCTGAAGAGCCAGCTGTAGAACTGATAACACTGCATGAAATTTTAGAGGTAAGATGGTTTTGTTATGTAGAGATTTGGGGGATTTTCCAATACTCAGGTCTGATCATAATATATTACTAAGATAAATAACAATATATGACATACGGTTAGGATCGTTAATTGAAAAGTAGAATGTTTAAGAATGTTATGTCAGATTTCTATTTTAATTCCTATCAAATTAAAACCCCAATTTTTTACAAGAGATGTGGCAATAATTTAGATAACTAAATCTTCAGTTTGAGCTGGAGAATGATTATCCCTTATTTCTTAACTTTATAATGATTATTTTAAAGAAGTTTTATGAGCCTTAGTGGCTCATATTAGGGGAGACAAATGCTATGCTCAACAAAAATATCAGTTGTTCCATTTCATGCTATATTTTGTACTGTTTCAATGAAAGTATTTCTGCAATATAATAGAATAACAGTTATAGAAGGACCAATTAATGTATAATCTCGTGTATTAACTGGATTATCTTCTCATGAAGAAATCAATGAATCTGATTCATGCATTTCTAATAGATTTTATAAGTATGCCAGCATTGCTTAGTGTGTATTTTAAATCACAATGCAATTTATGAATTTGAATTGCTGAGCATAATTTTGAAGAAGCATTAAAAATCTTTTTACTAGCATTGTTCCTTCTTGTCTTAAATGTAGCATTTGAAGCGAAATTTCCTATTCCTCCTCCATCCTCACTGTTCAGGCAGTTGTAAGCATCTATGTGTAAGACCTCCCTGGGGGTGGGGGGAGAGTTTTTTCCTGGGGGAAAACTTGATGAATAACAACTTTCTGGTATTAAGATGCTATGATCTGGTCACTATGACATTGTTGTACTTAAGTTTAAAGCCCAGAGTTTGGGCTTACATCATCAAAATCATTTTACATGCTTCAAGTATCTCAGCATGCCTATTAATGCCAAATTAGGTAGAGCTTGAAAACAGATCAGAATTTAAAATAGCCACATTCCCTATGGAATTAAAATTTTAAAGTTCTTTTAATGCTTTAAAATTGCCCTTCATATTTTTCTGACATTGTTAATCTCCTCAAAATGTGAACACATCCAAGTAATGTCTGATTTCCATTTGGAAGAACATACTACTTCCAAAAATTCAGACTTATTTTTAATTTTAACTATCTTGGCATAAACTGTCAACGTCCCTTAGCTTTGTTTTATGGGTTTTTTTTTTTTTGTTGAGCAACTTGGTTCTAGCTTCAAGTGCCTGTTAAATTTCAAAAGTGTTTTCTTAGATACAGATAATAGTTTCTTAAAGAGACAAATGCAAAGTCATCTTTGTATTATAATTACAGATTCAGGATTTGCTGTTGTAAAAATGTAATTCATTCACAGAACTACAATCAGTGCATGTGTTCCTAACCATTTCTCCTCAATCTCTGTGTGTTTTGTTAAATAATGAAAGTGTACATTTTTAATAAATTCACTTTGACAAGCTAAGTGTATAGATTTATATTATTTAGGTATATCAGTACCTACTTCATTAAATTAGTGTAAGTGGTAAGCAAGCAGTAAACTCTTTTCTCATGCAAACCTCAGAATTTTTATTGTACTACTTTTTATTCCTTTCTGATGGAGAATTTAGTGAACTAGTTTAAGATTTGAAAGGCTGTTTACAATACAAATGTATGTGAAGTTACAGCCATAAAGGCTATTTTGGAATATCAGATGTCAAAAAAGACTAAGTAACAATCATCTGAAATAATGCATTTGGAGTAAATACTGAGAATTGGGGCAGATAAGTATGAAAGACATAAACTGGAATAATTCTTCAGAATGTTCTGAAGAAGAAGAGCAGTATTTTTTTTTTTAAATAGCAATGGGTGAAAAAAGAGTAAAGTCTGGTAGTGAGCATTTTGAGTTTTTCTTTAGCAGTAAAGATGCAGACAGAATATTTTGTACCTACTGAAGTTAGGAAAGCTATAACATTTAGAAGCTCTGGGTAGAAAGATGAAATATCTGGGATGAATAGAGAAAGCACCATGGGTTGGGTAAGATTATTTAATCGTAATATCTGCAATATTCCCCATGAGCAATATTATGAGGGCATAAACATGGTCTCCAAGAACAGAAAAAAAATGTCAAAACTGTTCTTTGTTTTTAAATCCATTAACTAATTCTATATTTAGATAAGGAATAAAGGAGAAGTAAGGAAGTATCAAGAGGAGATGAATTGTTGTAAGGTGCTTGTCATGCCCAACCAAGAAGTGATATTAAGAATTTGGATAATCTATTTATGAGATGAGCAAAAAGGTTTGATGTGTAAGCGTAGTGAAGTTAAACTAGGACTATGATGGTTAACTTTTCACAGGTAAAAACTTATTTATTTCTAACACTACCTAAAATGACACAAAATAGAGGAAAAAGAATTCTTCCCAATCTAAGAAGACAGATTTTTTTTGTAGCATGTTAGTGAGATGAAATTTAGAAAAATTGTAAGACGGATATTCTTCTTTGCTAAAAACTGAAAGAGTGAGGGACAGTGATTTGTTGACAGTAAGTCATTATGATTTTGAGGCAAGTGATTCTCAAAAATCTAGCTTTCCCTCTTCTTTAATACTTTTAATCTTAAATTAACAGATACTGATTTAAAGATTAATTATATAAGGATTTACCAACTTCATGTGCAGATTTGTTAGGCATTTACAATTACACTATCTAAAATCCACTAAGAATTTTTGACAGATGGTGAAAAACTTAATCTGGATAAAAGGAGAATTCTGGTTCTAATTTTTACATCAAAAAATATGTAATGAAGTAAACTGGAAGTTCTTCATTTTACTTCTACCTTGAACAGGTCTTGTATTTCTCCTGTAGTCTTGTATTTCTTACACTGCCTACATAAGTGTCTCATTACAATCATTTATATAAATTTGGTTAAAGGAGATAAAATCTAGCTGTTTTGTACATGTTCTAAATCTTATCCTCTTGGTCTTCCAGATTCTTATAAACAAATTAATGAGCACACCACATGAACCCTATGTAACAATCACTGACTCATTTTGGCCACCTTATATTGAGCTGCTGCTGCGATATGGAATTGCCCTGAGACATCCAGAAGATCCAAACAGAATACGCCTAGAAGCTTTTCACATGTAGTGTGACCTACATGTTTACTTTAAAACAAAAGCACCACTACTCTTTCTTGCGGGCTAAGATATACTTATGTTTTATGATGAGCTTTTTTCATGTCAGCAACCTCTTCTTGTTGGATGATTCGATTATTCTTTTTCGTGTTTAATAAAGTGTGTATTCAGTCAGAGTGTTGTCACACAAAAACAGACAAAAATTTCTACTGTAACTGCTCACAGTTACAGTTGGCTTTCAGTTTTATGGCAAGTGATACCAAGATTTGTGTTGTGGAGGGTTTTTTCAGCCGCTTTAGTAAGATGCAAATTCAGGTCATAGACAAAATAAAGATGTTTAAGAGTCCTTTTTACTTCAAAAATCATACTTTATACATTAATTTTCTCTTTTATGTTCATTTCTTAGATTGCTTTAACTCTTCTCAATTGCCTTTAGTATTTTGTTGCACTCTGTATAAGCAAAATTTGAAATAACTCAGCTAGTCTTGTACATGGCCTTGCAGACATTTAGAACTGTCCTGGTTTCAGCTGCGTTAGAGTTAATTTTCTTCCTAGTAGCTGGTGTAGTGCTGTGTTTTGGATTTAGTATGAGAAGAATGTTGAAAACACACTGATGTTTTAGTTGTTGCTGAGCAGTGCTTACACTACTGAAGGACTTTTCAGCTTCCTACGCTCTGCCAGGTAAGCAAGAAGCTCGGAGGGAGCATAGCCAGGACAGTAACCCATCTGACCAACAGGGTATTCCATACCGAATGATGTCATGCTCAGTATATAAAGCTGGGGGAAGAAGCCGGGGGGGAATGTTCGGAGTGATGGCGTTTGTCTTCCCAAGTAACCGTTACGCATGATGGAGCCCTGCTTTCCTGGAGATAGCTGAATACCTGCCTGCCGGTGGGAGGCAGTGAATGAATTCCTTGTTTTGCTTTGCTTGCGTGCGCAGCTTTTGCTTTCCCTATTAAACTGTCTTTATCTCAGCCCACGAGTTTTCTCACTTTTACCCTTCTGATTCTCTCCCCCATCCCACCCGGGGCGGGGAGTGAGTGAGCAGCTGTGTGGGGCTTAGTTGCCGGTTGGGTTAAACCATGACAGGAACTAACAGTGAAGTATCATCTCAAGAATGTGTTTGGGTTTTTTTCCAGAGCCTTTGCAAACAAATTTATTGGCTTTAAGATAAACACTTAGGAAAGCTGACACATCTTTCTATGCAACGGGCTGCAGATATTAAGTGTGCAACTCTACAACTGCATACTTTCTAAACAGCTCATATTGTGTTATGCTATATTGCCTAACAGTATCTGTCTTTGCTTTTTCAGATCTAGTTTATCAAGGCTTATAACAGATCTCTGTTCTGTTGATTTCTACAGTTTCTAGGTTATATCAATTGACAGTTACCTTCTGAACAAATGCTGGTGTTGTGTCATCCTAATCTGCTTTTCTGTAGCCCTTGTTATTTTAGGCCATGGGTACACAAATGATAACTTGCCCAGTTTTACACAAATAGTCTGAAATTAAACCCAGAATTGAAGCTGGAAGTCCTAGTCTTGCATATCTATAGTGACTATAACCTTGGGAAATAAAATACACCTTTTATTAACCAGATTTCAGTTTATTGAGGTAGGAATGATTTTTCAGTTCACAGGAAAATAAAGGATTGTATAGAATCATAGAATGGGTTGGAAGGGACCTTAAAGATCATCTAGTTCCAACCCCCCTGCCATGGGCTGGGACACCTTCCACTAGATCAGGTTGCTCAAAGCCCCCGGCCTTTGAACACTTCCGGGGAGGGGGCATCCACAACTTCTCTGGGCAACCTGTTCCAGTGACTCACCACCCACACAGTAAAGAATTTCTTCCTTATATCTAGTCTGAATCTACCCTCTTCCAGTTTAAAAATATTACCGCTCGTCCTATCACTACACTCCCTGATAAAGAGTCCCTCCCCATCTTTCCTGTAGGCCCCATTGAAGTACTGGAAGGCCCGGAGCCTTCTCTTCTCCGGGCTGAACAATCCCAACTCCCTCAGCCTGTCCTCATAGGGGAGGTTCTTCAGCCTCCTGATCATCTTTGTGGCCCTCCTCTTTCTTATGCTGAGGGCTCCAGAGCTGGACACAGTACTCTAAGTGGGGTCTCACCAAAGCAGAGTAGAGGGGCAGAATCACCTCCCTCGACCTGCTGGCCACGCTGTTTTTGATGCAGCCCACAATACGGTTGGCCTTCTGGGCTGCGAGCACACACTGCCCGCTCAAGTCCAGCTTTTCATCCACCAGTACCCCCAAGTCCTTCTCAGCAGGGCTGCTCTCAATCCACTCATCCCTCAGCCTGTATCCATGTTTGGGATTGCTCCAATCCAGGTGCAACACCTTGCACTTGGCCTTGTTGAACTTCATGAGGTTCGCATGGGCCCACTTTTCTAGCCTGTCCAGGTCCCTCTGGATGGCATCCCTTCCCTCTAGAGTACCAACTGTACCACTCAGCTTGATGTCGTCTGCAAACTTGCTGAGGGTCCACTGGATCCCATTGTCTATGTCATTGATGAAGATACTAAACAATACTGGTCCCAATACGGACCCCTGAGGGACACCACTTGTCACTGGGCTCCACTTGGACATCAAGCCATTGACCGCAACTCATTGAGTGCGACCATCCAGCCAACTCCTTATCCACTGAGTGGTCCACCCATCAAATCCATGTCTCTCCAGTTTAGAGACAAGGATGTCGTGCGGGACAGTATCACATGCTTTGCACAAGTCCAGGTAGATTACATCAGTTGCTCTTCCCTTATCTACCAATGCTGTAACCCCATCATAGAAGGCCACCATATTTGTCAGGCACAATTCGCCCTTAGTGAAGCCATGTTGGCTGTCACCAATCACCTGTTTTCTATATGCCTTAGCATAGTTTCCAGGAGGATCTGCTCTATGATCTTGCTGGGCACAGAGGTGAGAGTGATCAGCCTGTAGTTCCTCCGGTCTTCCTTTTTCCCCTTTTTAAAAATGGGAACGACTTTTCAAATATGATGGAGAGTGGCTTTGCAACATCATCCGCCAGTTCCCTCAGGACCCTCAGATGCATCTCATCAGGTCCCATGGACTTGCGCACATTCAGGTTCCTTAGATGGTCTCAAACCTGATCTTCTCCTACAGTGGGCAGTACGTCATTCTCCTGGTCCCTGCCTTTGGATTCTGTGAATTGGGTGGCATGGCTAGAGCACTTGCTGGTGAAGACCGAGACAAAAAGCTGTTGAGTACCTCAGCCTTCTCCATGTCAGTTGTAGCCAAGTCTCCATTTTTGCTCATCAGCCGGAGGGGTACAGTTTCTTTCATCTTCCTTTGTTGTCCTGTGTACCTGAAGAAACCCTTCTTGTTATTTTTCATGTCCCTAGCCAAGTTCAGCTCCAGCTGTGCCTTGGCTTTCCTGATCCCCTCCCTGCATTCCCAGGCCATATCCCTGTAATCTCCCCAGGATGTATATCCCTGCCTCCACTGCCTATGCATTTTGGTTTTGTGGTTTAGTTTGGCTAAGAGGTCTTGACTTAGCCAAGCTGGCCTCCCGCCTCCCCTCCCAACTTCTTGCAAGTTGGGATTGAGAGCTCTTGTGCCCTAAGAAAAATGTCTTTAAACATCTCCCTCTCCAGTTTTTGTTCGCTTCTTTGCCTCTGAGGAGAGTTTCCCAAGGGATCCCACGCACTAGAACCCTGAATAGCTGAAAGTTTGCGTTTCTGAGGTTTAGGGTCCTGACTCTACTTTTTACCCAACCTGTACCCCTCGAGATTGAGAATTCCACCAGGGCATAATCACTGCAGCCCAGGCTACCTCCAGACTTGACCTCTCCAATAAGTTCTTCCGCATTAGTGAGCAACAGGTCCAGCAGTGCCTCTCCTTTGGACAGGCTCTCCATCACCTGTACTAGGAAGTTGTCCTCAACTTCCTAGATAAAGAAACTAAATGCAATGACTGAAATCAGGCTATTTTTTGCAGTTAGGTCTTGCAGCTACTAAAAATTACTATGGAAGACCTGAACAGGACTCAACAGAGTATTGCATGTGACAACTTTACAAGATGATATAAGGATGCATGGGGAGAAAGAGGGGACCAATCCAATATAAGTTCTAGCATAACTGCCTTTATTAGCCCTACTAAATGTTAAACAAAAAAATCATTACTTCTTGTGTGGTTTTGAGTGAATGCTGTTCATTTTACACACATGATGATTAAGCATGAGTATAGATCCCAGTGTGTGCTGTTGTGCATGAACATTGGCATTTTTTGTTTGATACTGCCTGCTCAACTGCCCTCCATTATTCAAAGTCTAGCTCTAATGACTGACAAATCTGTACATATTTACCTTACAGTATTTTTTATTAATTATTCAAATAGCTAAGTTTCTTGGCTTTGCTTTCTAGCATTGTGTCATTAGATTTTTTTTTCTTCATTTGTTTTTAAATACTTTGTATTCTGCTATCCTTTCACCTTATTAGTAATACTATAAAGCTCAAATACTTCATTGACCCTGGATGCCTGCTTCTGTGGTGACATTGGTAAGTTGGAGAAAAAATGTTAAACACTAAGTAGCTTCTCTTAAAAAGAAAAAAACCTCCACACACACCCCCCAAAACAAAAACACTGAGAAGGAGATAGGATAATCTATAAATAAGTGCTCTAGAGAAGATGCAATATTCATTTTTTTTCACAACACAAAATCAAATCTTATCCAAGTAAATTATCAGAATAGATTTAAAAGAAAGCACTTAATATAAAGCTTTAGATCAAATTATGGAACTCACTGCCATAAAATGTGTTGTAAAGGTTAAGTACAAATTTTCAAAAAATGCAAGTTCATAGAATTTAGATTCATGAGTGGTTACTAAAGAAAATTGGCAGTCAGCTGTTTCAGAAATCCCTATCCTGCTAATTGTTGGACCCTGAGAAGATATACATAGATATTCCTTGAGACCCTCCTGCAGCTCCGCAGTATCTTATTGCATTCCAGAAAGCCTTTCTGTTTAGGCTTGGG